ACGGGCTACAATAAAAGCATCCTCTCGAGTTAGGCCGTAGGTGAGCAAATGCGAGCTAGTGGCAGGAGCCAAGTCCACTGAAGCGTTGGTACCAGCTAGAACAGCCAGACGAAGGACAACGCGGTTGAATCCACGGTTTGATTCGGGCAGGAAGGTGGGCCAGTATGAAGCCTGTGGGGCAGAGGAACAATCTGTCTGAAATGAATTTGATATGAAAGGCTGGATTGAGTCCGTAGGGTAAGTAGGAGGAGCAGGAAGATGGGATGAGAACAGCACTGCCTCACGAATAAGATAGGCGATTGGAGCTCGCAGACGCATATTAATTTGATCAGGAGAAGTTGATGTTGGCTCTTCAAGTTGGTAGATGAGTTCAATCGGGAACCACTTAGCCTGCAAAGACTCCATATCTGCTTTGGCCTTTGGTGAACCTTGAAAGTAATATTGAAAAACAACCAAACAAGGGTATGTATAAAAACTAGGCATCGGAGAAACATTCAATAGATTGATGTTGAAATATCTTTTATTTCGTGACATGACTTTCCATTTGGGGGGAAAAGTTGGTTGGAAGGAATTCGTGATGAGGACTTACCGTAAACCGAAGGAGGATTGCCATGTAGGAAAGACTGTTGTATTAGACGAAGAAGTCCTCTGCTCGCCGTCCTGCGACCCCTTTGAAACTGTACTAACCTTTCGTCTGTACCACTGTGACAGACATCAGCAAAGCCGGTATATATACTTCACGAAATAGAGCAACAATATACTAAACCAAGAAAAAATGTGGTCACCTGCAACCCGTCGCCTTTTATACACTCAACTTCGCGATCTTAATGAGGCACCCCGTGCTTTGGTTGGCTACCTCGAAATTACTCTGCATGTTTGCAGATGAATGGAGCTACTTTATGAACAGAAAGTACATTTGATGGCAGCTGTTTCCCTACACAAATAAACTAGCGTACTATTCTCGAATGTTGACTCATGATTGGCTTTGTGCTATTAATTATTGTGTTATTCGTATTAGAGTAGGGTTTCGAGACTACCAGTAAATCATTGTAATGAGATATATTCACCCTATTTCGTGTAAGGTGAT